GGGCACCCTGGCACGGAGTGGTTAATGAACAGTCCATGCAAGAAAAATGTTGACTCATAAATGTAGGCAGCTACAAATGAACCATGCTTTGAAGCTATTCAACTGCTTTGGACCTTTTGGCATGCACAGCCAGTAGAAAAGGCTGACTCCGCTGAATGCTCAAAGAAGGAATGGGGTCGAACTTCAGTACAGTAAAAAGAGACAGAAAGATCCAATGTGCTAACAGGTTTCACGTTGTACCCAACGTCACCTGAAAATGCACCTAAGGGAATTTTACAGAGCTGCCAAGGACAGGAATTTGCTAAGCATGGAAAATTTGCTTAGCAGAAACAGGTTATTGGCCTAAGTGTTGTGCAAGGCATATCACCTGGGACCAGTTTTCTGCCCATGTATATTTATCACAAAAATCAACTGAGCAATGTTTTCTGCCTAGGAGCTTCATGTAATCGGGCCCTGTAGCCTCGACAGAGGCCACGTTAAGTGGACTGTGCTATATTACTGAATGGTCAGCAAACCTATTTACCAGTCTGCCTAACAGAGTTTAAAGCAAGGTAAAATATTCATTCTGGGAACCTGAGAGTGGAAATGAAGGCAATGAAATAAAATTTTAGCAGAAATGAACACTTGTGCAAGCTGATGAAATAATGAAAAATTTACAACTAAATGTTCTTAATGTTTTAAGCCACATTTATAACATAAGATAAGATAGATTCGGGGAACATGACTGAAAATGGTCACCTGTGAATAAGGTATATTCCAGGAGGTGCAAACTTACAGGTGCATTATGGCTGTAGAGAGGCACTGTGACCAAGATCATTTCAAACAATTTGGGCATTCTCAGTAGTAATCTTCCTGTCCTCTCTCCACCTCCAATGGTGGCAACTTGGTTACCGTGTCGACAAACTTCAGCAGGTCTTCCAGACGGTCCACCAGATCCTCCGCGTCCAACTTGTTGTTCTGCACATCGGTGAGGAGCGCCGTGGTCTTGGCCAGGCACTCTACTGGGATGCCGTTGCCCAGCATGGGGTCAAGGAAGTGGGTTCGGGCCTGCAGGAGGTTGGTCCTGGCGTTGGTACCTGGGCACTCCATGTTCTTGGCACATCTTATACCTGGATGGCAAAGTAGAGCAGCGAGGAGATCAGCTCCAATTCCTCTTGACTGATTGCAAAAGGGGTCAATTTTATAGAGCTAAGCTAGGCACCCAAGTCTGCTAAACAAAGAAAATATCTGCTCAGCAACAATGGGTTGCTACACAGCAATGCCACACATTTTCCAGCTTATCAGCTGTGTGAACTTTGGCCCTGGGGTTAGCACAGTAATAATAAAGAATCCTGGGCAATATACCTGGCTTCTGGCTTGAAGCATTTGAATTGTTGGTGAGTTTACATGGTAGGGTGACCTAATAGTATTAGTACAGGTGTAGGTCAACAATCTTAATATTCACTGGCTAAGGTTTTAATGAGCTAGTGAGATACTACAAAACATTCCCAAGGCATTCTTGCAAGGAACCTTTTTGAATCATTAACAAAATAGTCTTAGCATTGCCAGGAATTAATGTCATATTCTTTGTACTTCAGCATTTGAGGAGCATCCAGCCCTATGTACAGTAATGGTGGTGGGATCTACCTTTTCTCAATCCTACAAAATCCTCCAAAATCTCCTGGTGGATTTTGAAGGATTTGGGAGGGTTCGGTGTAGTGCTATGTGAGTTTCATTTTTGTGTGAGATAGTTTCAAGTTTGTTGAATTCGCTTTTTTCCAAATGTTTAACACAAAAATGTTCTGAGGTTAGTACTTTGTATCAAGGGAAACAATGAACTGGCGTATTTATATTGCTGCTAAATAAGCGGGACATTTGCAGGGAAGTGTGGAGATACACGCTGCAAAGCAAACATTTGTGTGGCAGTCAGGCAACATTAAATCCTAACAGTCAACCTTGTCAACTAGGTAACCAAAAGTTGGGGCTCACCAGGCATTCTGATCTTGATTTGCACTGGGGTTACATTTGAACGCAGCTTAGAGCAAGGCAAATAACCTATATACATTATACAAACATTCTGAGAATGTTTGCGAAAATTAACGTGAACTCTTCAGGGAAACGATGGCTCACTAAGATTAGGGCAGGGGTCAAAGGTCTGGGTAGGGTGGCGATTCAGTTTTTTGGCATGAGCATTAACCTGCCCTCTCTCCATCTCAATAAAAGAGAGTACAAATGGGTCAGTCAAACGTAACTCTCTGACCTGAACTTTCCTAGGCCCTTCAAATCCACAAGGGGTTTGGCATATTTTGCAGGAAGGTTAGTCCAGCCACCATTACTTCATATAAAGCTTCAGGATTCTTAAAATGCCCTGTGCAAAGAGTGTGCCACTCACGTTCTGATGATCAGGAGATTTGGGCATATTTGAAACGTGCCCTACACTAATACCCAGAGACGCGGTGTTCTCTCACCATAAGGCATGTTGTTAATGAGGCACTTCATGTCTTTATTGCAAGCTGGCTCTTTGCTGTTGAGTCCGTCCACATCGGCAATCTTCAGCTGGCCACCGACGAACACAAACTGTTCGTCCCTCCAGTCAGTGATGGCCACGCTGCCCATGGGAGAGTCAGCCAGGTACTGTAGGAGCCTGGCCAGGTCAAGACAGACCTGACAAGATGGCAGGAAGGGCGGTAAAAATGTTGCTTTATGGGCTACGTGCACCAGTAGAGGAGTACTCATACTCGTGGTAAACTAATTACACTCATGGTGACGTACCCCTACTCACAGTGAAGTACTCAAACTCACGGTGTAGAAGTTACACTGATGGGGAAATTCTCATACATATGGAAATTGCATGAACTACAACGCTGTGCAGTGATTGCTGAGGGCACTATATTCAGCTTACAGCCAATTGTGGACACTTGTAGGTTGTAATGAATTCCAAATGATTTATTCTAAATGCAACGCCCAAGTGTAGCATACACAAAGAAGACATAAGCATGTTTTTATTATTAGTATGACGCATTTATTCTCCCTGTTGGTGGGACAGACGTTCCCTATACCGCGGTTTGGGTACTAGCGCGGTGACATTCATTCATTCATCCCTTCATTTCTTAAATCCATTATTTTTTACGTCAACTTGTACTGCCCCATTGATCATTTTTATGGAAACGGTGCATTATAAATTTTCCATTACTATTATTATTATCGTTTATGACGTATGCTCATTTACTGATTAGATTTTTGGCATATTGGCTTTGTTAACAATCGTTTTCAGAATACAGGCACAGATATGCAAATAACCGTACAAAATCCGTATTAAAGTTTGTGTTCTCAGTGGGTTGGTACACAAACACGGATGCACCCGGCAGGTTTCACTTTGAACGATTTGGCATTCTAGTCATTTCATATAGCGCTAGGGCTCTTACTTCTATCTTGGCTCTGAAGTCCATGTCAGTCAGATCGCGGAGGAATACCGGGGAGCCAAGCTCCTCGATGACAGTGACTCCTCTCTCGTGAATGATGGGACTGCTGTTCTCGCTGCGCACACAGAGGCCGAGCAGTCTGACGATGTTTGGATGCTGTAGCTGCTTCAACATCATGGCTTCCTTCAGGACCTGTGGAATGAGGACTTAGTGTGGATTTATTGTGGAATGACAGAATGAAAACCACTACAAAATTTCTAACCCCCGCCCGGCAAGCATTTCCGCTTGATACCTTTCAGAATCGTCCAAAATTCACCACTTACAGGAACCAATGCCACATTCTTTGTATTCTGTTAAGGGATATTTAGCCCTATGCACAGTCACGGAGGCTGAATTCTAACCACCTTGATTCAGGAACAAAATTCACTGCAGATTTTGAGGGAACTTGCAGCACTAGAGTTAAACTCCACTGGCAATTTTCCAAGTAACCTTTTGTTTTTGTAATCTCCAAAAACCAATTTGGGATTAAAACTGAGATATCAAGGCTCAAAAATGACATATGCTCCACTCTCTTTTCCTTGTAAATCTGAATAAAAATGAACAATACGACACGTAATGATTATCAATGGATCAAATTTATAATTTCACTTGGGAACTGGATCTTTAAACCTGACAGGAGTGACTATCCAACTTTGCCTAGGCTGACATGAAACTACACCAGAGTGACTAGATGATTGACCAGAATGAATTGACAATTGACCAAGAGTGACATGAGACTTGACCAGAGAGACATAAGACTTGGCCAGAGAGACAAGAGACTTGACCAGAGAGACATAAGACTTGGCCAGAGAGACAAGAGACTTGACCAGAGAGACATGAGACTTGGCCAGAGAGACATAAAACTTGGCCAGAGTGACTTGAAAACTGACCAGGATGACTTGACACTTGACCAAGAGCAACAAGAAACTTGAGAAGAGTGACATGGGTCACATGAGACATGCCAGAGACTCCAGAGTGACTTGAGAATTGACCAGGACGACTTGACACTTGACCAACAGCAACAAGGAACTTGAGAGGAGTGACTTGACACTTGGCTGGAGTGATTTCAGACTTCACCAAAGTGACTTGAAACTTCACCAGAGTGACGTGAGAAGTAATGACGGTGACTTGAAAATTGACCTGAATGACATGACATCCAGACTTGATTAGAGTGACTTGAGACTTGACCATATAGACTTGTGGCCTACTAGAGGCAAATCGGACTTCCCCAGCAAGAGACTTCAGAGACTTTGAACCTAACTGGAGTGGCTTGACGACTATGACAGGGTGACTTGAGACTCGGCCAGAAAGACTTGAACCTTGACCAAGGTGACTTGAGATTTGACAAGAGTGGCTTCAGACTTGACAAGAGTGGCTTGGGACTTGACCATATTGGCTTGAGATCTGACTGCAAATACTTGAGACTTGAACACAGAGAGTAGAGATACAACTGAGGTTATTTGACTTGCAGAACCCCTATTATATGTAGATTCATGAACACATACCTGATAGGTCCCAAGGATGAAACAGTCTTCTTTTTTCTTGTATGTCCCACCCTGCACACAATCTTTCACAATCTTCACGTCGTAGCTGGTGCTCTTCACGGCATAGTGTTTGTCCCCTAGTTTGCCCTCCTGGACGACCTTGCTGTGACCTTGAGCGACCTGCTGTGTGATCTGGATCCTGTCGATGGCCTGACAGTCCAGGAACTTCTCCTCGGAGGGGCCGCCATTCGGGAGCGAGGCTCCGGTGGCCGGTGCCCGGCTCCGCTTGACGATGACCTTCTTGTACTTCTGTAGCGTCTCCATCAGGTCCTTCTCTAGGTCCTTTTCCTCGGCAAGCTGCTTCTGCAGCTCCACCACGGCCTCTTCCAGCTGCTGCACCCTGTCATTGGAAACTCTGTCTGCCGCTGCCTCCTCGTCGGGAGCAGAGACCGCCATCGACCGCAGAAGAAGGAAGAACGGTAGGAAGGCCAAAGCTCCCAGCACCAACCAGCGTAGGTTGGGGTTGAAATAAAATGTTCTCATGTCGGACCTTGTGGTACAGTACAGCCCCTTTCGCTTCCACTATTGGTATCACATTAACGCTGACAAATACAGCTGCCAATATTTGTTGACCAGAGGATGCATGATTCTGTTGGTAGAACAAATTGCAGAACAAAGATAAAACTGATCAATACTGCACTTCTGGGTTTTAAATGTAACAAGAGTCTTGTGGATATAGATTACTACAGCCTGTGGGTCAGGATTTCAAAAAGTTTAATTTTTTCAAATGTCATTGCCAAGCATCTTCATTCCATTTTGGAAAATCTTACTGCACATACCCTTTCATCAAACACCGCCTCAAGGATGGTCAGTCAGAGGCAGTGTACATGTACGTGTTACGTTAAAGAAAACAAGGTGGGGAAGACAGAATGAAAAATATGTTGACACACCTGAAATCCAAAAACATATGACAAGAAAATACTTTCTTTCCATCATCTGTTATAATAAAACAATGAATGACTCATGAAATGAGCGCGACTATACACTGAATAAAACTTAGACAATTTTTTTCTCAAGTAATATGTCAAAGTCAAACAGGACTATAAGTACTGAAGCTGCAGGTGGCTTGACCAGGCTACATTTCATGCCCCTATCCATCGGGCCCACAGATAAACCTTTTCTGACATTTTCATTGCATCATGGGACTCGATGTCAAGAAAGTCATGAATTTTATGCATGAATCTATGGGAAGTGAACCAGTCTAAAATCAATGCATTTTCGTCAGAATATTTCTTGAAGCACCTGCTCATCAAGAAGGAAACAGCCAGTGAGTAGCAAGATGGAACCGGTGTCTACCACCTCTACAGGGCCATCCTACCAACACAACTTCACTGAATTTACACTCTAAATCCAGTACGTCCAAGATGTACAATTTCTATTTCTGGTAAGCTTCATTTTATTATGAACAAGTTTATATCAACTCTTTGATGCTACATAAAAAGAGGACAGCTTGATTTCAAGTACTTGACAAGGTGGTGATGATTTCTTTCTTTTTTTACAGGCAGGCCTAACATCTGTCTGCACAAGACCATAGAGTGCCTTATAGTTGCCAGGTTCCTTATGTGGCCACTTACTGTGAAAACCAATCAGACTTTACAACAGGTGATGAAATTAAGGACCTGGCGACTACGTGTATACGGTCACCAGTCACAGACGTTATACTTCTAACACAGCCTGGACTGGGAATTAAATACACTAAAACAAATTAGCTGTTCGTCATCCAATCCCATGATGCACTGCAACGGTCAAACATACTACAGACCCCCTGCAGCTGGTACAAAGGAATGGTACATTGAGAAAAATGTGAAGAACTAGGCCTATTCTTCAATTCCTAATCCACATGATCTCAATCCAGCATGGGTGCAGGCATGTCCGAATTCCACGGTCCAATAAAGGGGATTGTATATTTGGGAACCCCCAGTTTTTGTCATTTTTATCTTGTAAAACTGATCAGCCCCTAGAAAAACAAAGGCAATCTTCGTTTTCTTGCACCGATCCTATATTTTGGACATTTTTCTATGTAAATTGTGAGAAAATGTGACCTTACTGACAAACCAGCCGCGCAACTTTGAGTCCACCACGTGTCATGTATTAAAACAGTTTCCCCTCATAATTTCCCTCGAAACTCAAAACCCTGCTCTCTTCTCACAACATCAAATTTAGTTACTGAGCACCACTCAGTTCTGAGTGATGCTCACTTAGAAGTTAGCGTTTTTCAGAGTATTTATCCAGATTGAACATGTCAATTGTTATCTACCAACGTGACCAAGGTGTATCCAAAAGTTAAAATGTAGGTCTCCTGTCTATTGTTGGAACGGGTTTTTTCAGTTTCCTTGCGCTAACGTTCTGCAAGGGCCACGTCATGTTTGTTCATGCTGTTCTTTGCTCTATCAATTATCATTTAGTAAGCATGACGAGCCATGCAAGCCCAGGCATTGCCAGGCCGGTCAAAGTGCCAATCTACGCACAAGCAAAACTGTAAAATACATGAAGAAGAACCAAATGTTATCTTACAGAACAATTCCACGTAACCTACTTTGAAATTTTGACAAAACCTTTACAAAGAGATGCAATTAGGACTGAAGAACCAGGTTTGTTGGAAAGTTTACACCAAAACAATTTTTTGCTGACAGCGCGTTAAGGTACAATTAACGAACAACCTTGATATCAGGGTACGATGGCAGTCAGCGCAAGAGTTGATACATTGCTTACTCGGTAGGCACCTGAGAACGAGTTGACAAATTACAGACAGGCACCTCCACAATAATTGCAGTGCTCATGTGGCTAGTCTAGGTTCAAGACACACTCACCAAATTATTGGCCCATTTCTATTTGCGATGCCGTTTGTGAGTGCCTGTGGGTTATCCATGCATCTTTTACAATAATGAATGCGCCACCAACTTTCGAGTCTTTTATTCTCTACGAAGGTGATAAAAAGTAAGTAAATGCAACGTTAGTTCTTACCCTAATCACTTTTTCACCAAGATTTACACTAGTGCAAATCATTTTAATTTAAGTGGAATGGTGAACATGGTGAAGCGCTCCGGCATGTCCAGCTGTTCGCTCTGAGCGGAACAAAAGAGGGCGCGTGTCTTTTGTTTTGGTAGGCCTACCCCGTGTACTCTCGAATAGGTGCGCCATCATTGTTTTCCCATTCAAATCGAAAATGCTGTTGTTTACGAGCTCGAAGACGCCATCTTTCCTCAAATAGCAATTTGAGCTTTATATTGATGTGTTGACAACGTTACAGTTTCTCCCTTCCACGTGTTGACTGTTGCTCCATTCATGTGGTTCGTGTTTATCAGATTGTGCATGCGTCGAACCCACCAATGACCGCACTTGCTCCGCATCTTGGCTCGACTATTTTCGGTGGCAGGAGATGACATCTTGTGTTATATTTGTCCCAGCTATACACAGCGCAGTGCATGTCGTGCATCTGGCCCGATGTGTTTGTAGGTCACAGCATTGGCAAAAAATGAGGTTTTTTCTACCATCCTTCACATCCTTCAACGATCCGCACACATCTGCATTCTCTGTGGTGGTACGTCACGTGACAGAAACAGGCGCAGCGTATTCGCGTAACGAACGTTTATGATGCTTTGGATACCAGTCCCCATAATTCCAACTACTCCCGCTAAGATTATGTGAAACGTCTGGGAAATGGGTTTTGTCCTACCCCCTAGAGCTGTGAGGTCCAACGTCCACCCTGCTCCCAAGAACCCCACAGAAAACTAGCCTTTTTCGTCATAGGCTTTATCAGCTTTACAGTCACTTCACCCCATCCCCACTTCGCCCCATCTCCACTTCACCCTACATGTACTTCCTGAACAGTAAGGCACTACTTCGTAGGCCTTACTTCGTAGGCCTTACTCCATAGGCCTTACTGGGTCCATCTGTTTGATGCTATGGCATTTTGAAAAGTGCCCTGCAATCATACCAGAGAAAACCTCCGTTTGCACTTTCTGAAGCAAATTTACCCCTAAAGACCCTATAATAGCTAACCTATTTGGAACTACCGGGCACGAGTGTATTTTGTGGTATTTTAACCTATTGGCCAAAAATGAGGCTTTTTCTACCGTCCTCACCTTTTATCCCTTGACGATCCTTCTTGGTGAAGTTATATGCCAGATGGGGAGGTTTATTCACCACATATCCTCATTAAAATGATGAAATTTTTGAGCACTTTGCCCATCCACACGACAGAAAATCAGCAGCATGTACTCTCAATGGCTGTCAGCTGTGTGATAGCTTGACCAATCGCAACACAGCTCCTATCTGTTCCTTTTTTCCCCGTTACCCACAGAAAAAAGCCGCACTGTGATTGGTCCAGTTTGCTTCCATTCCAATGACCAATCATAGCTCAGTCAGCTTTCATTTGGATGGGGTCAGGAAAACAAAGCTTTCAATATATTTTCCAATGAAATTTATATCAAAAATTTGACATTCAAGTAAAAATATTAATAGATTTCAGTCATTTGACTTCCACTACATAAACAACAAAGACAAATTGCCTAGTTTATGAAATTGCAACTCAAGAGCCACACAGATTTACCTATCAATCATAATAAATCTTTGGGTATTAATCCCCTCTCCCAATCAATGACATTGAACTGTACTTAGAAAATCCTTGTGAGATTATGGTGTTTACAAGCCAACAGCAATGCAGGTTTCAGATCAGCAATTTTTAGTAACAAAAAGATCCCATGACTTCAACCTGTATGTTGGAGCAGAGAGCTGGAGAGGGACTCACAGCATCTTTGGCTCTGGAGTTTCACTGACATAAGATGTTACTCATAAAGCACCAAATATAAGCAGTTGAGCTATGTTTGAGATGAAATGTCGGTCCAAAAGGGACTCTAGCCATTTTGGCTGCCTTGAAGGAAAGAGGACAGGGTTGCGGAGTGTGCTGCGTGCCTTTTGGCTGGTCACTGTTTTCTGCTGTTTCTTCAGGAATGACAGTTCCGGCATCAGGTGTTTTTCCTTGCTGCATTGCAACATGTGAGTTGCAGCCAATCTCATTTTCAAATAATCAAATGAAACCAGCACTAAATGAATGAGACATTTATGCTAGGAAGCTAAACCAACTATAATGACCTGAGATATGTGACAAATTGACGGGGTATTTTGTTTTTGAAGTTAGATTTTCGCTCCTCTTAATTTTGACCAAGTGCATCTGTGAAGTAAAGTTGCTTATGTTGGCACTGCAGTAAAGTGAACTCGTTTGTTGCAGAATCACCATTGAAAAGGACACCAAGGTTCCTAATGCAGCGATATTCCATGTGAACAAGGAGGACCACACTCTGGGCAACATGCTCCGGCAGTAAGTTTAACCTAGCTGAGCATTTATGTCCCAGAACCTTAGCAAAATTGATATCCCCTGTACACACAGTTTGTTACGTTCTGCTCTCTTGAGAGGCAGGGAACGCACCAATTGCCTTTCTGTGCTGTGTGCCGCTGATTAAACAAAGATTAGGCTGATGAAACTGCTCATCAGCGCAAGTTGTATCACATGAAAACATGCAGAACAAATCACATTCACTCCTCTGCCCACGTTTGAAGCCAAGAATGGAAGAAGAAATACACTTAACTTGAAACTGAGCAGCTGTGAATGTGTTGTAAGTGGCACTTTGCAACTGCGCAGTATTCCAATTTGTCCCACAGCATTCATAAAGTTCCTTGACCTCACACTGAATCCAGCACCCTTCTGTCCATGCAGGCAACTCTTGAAGGACCCCCAGGTTCTGTTTGCCGGTTACAAGGTGCCCCATCCCTTGGAGAACAAGTTTGTGCTGCGAGTGCAGACCACGCCCGACTACAGCCCGCAGGAGGCCTTCACAAACGCTATCACAGATCTAATCAGCGAGATCTCACTACTGGAGGAGAGATTCAAGGTAAACCACAAAAAGCCCCCAAAACGTCAGTTTTGTTATTCTCTTGAAACAGTGTCTCTCACTCGGAGTTCGGTGCTTGACTATTTTCTGACTACTTTATTAGATCACCCAGGGCCAGTTTCATGGAAATGCTAACTTATGGAGCATTGCCAAGTTTGCCAAGATGTATTTTTGCATTGGGGAGATGTTCTTGAAAATAGTTCGCGGTACCTGCTGCTTCACCTGACTCGGACCGGCCAGCTGACCCCGGCAAGCTCGGTGGTCGAGTGGTTAAGACGTCTGCACTAGTAAGCAGGAGGTCGTGGGTTTGAGTCCCACCCGAGTAAGCTTGTGACTTTTTACGCAAGCTCTCGGACATGCACTGAACATACAGTGTTTATTAATATATACGTTGGGTAAGGGCAAAACCCGTTATATAAATTAACATCTCCCCAACGCAAAAAAAATACATCTTGAAAATAGACTGATTGCGCCCGCTAAATCATGTATAGTGGGTAGATAGTGGGTATTAAAAATCAGCAAATGTGGTGTTTCTTAAGCAGAGTGTTTCATAAGTATCATTTACCATAAATAAAGCCAACGGTAGATACACTACTCAGACTACTGATGTGCTGAGTACTATACCGTAACTTTGCTGTATTGTTTGTAAACGACACTCAAAACACACTTTGCTATGGGGTTGATACCCACTATCCGCTCCGAGCAGAACAAAAGAGGGCATGTTTTTTTGGTACTCACTGCATTGGCATGCCATGAGGCGCGCAAGTATATGCGCGTTTGATGCGGAGCACGCTGAGTACATGTAAGTAATTTATTCTGGCATGTATGGTCTTTGTGAACATGCAGAAAGCATGCAAAAACCTGCTTGTAAACCACCTGTCTTTCTTTCGCTGATTGGGGTGCACTTCAGCTCGAGGCGGATAGGTCACGTGATTTACCAGACACTGTCAGTCCATTAGTTGAGCAAAAACAAAAGCACCATCCTAAATGCTGCGTGGTAATAGTGTACTGGACCTGGTTACTAGATGCTTCTAAGTGACAGGATACTTAGCGTTTAGATTTGCCACAAAATATTTTCTGCTTAGAAGCTGCATTTAGTTGGGTCTTGTTGACCTGCCAAACGTGTACAAGCCACGTGTAAAAGCCCCATTTGAATGACGGTGACAGTTTGAAGAAAGCGGCGAGTTTCTAAACACGCAATTGTGTTTTCGGCAGACATGCCACGTAAGAAGGGACCTTGCATCTCCTCAGACCCTCTGCTTATTGTGCAGGCCTGAAAGAGTCACTTTTTGTTTGTGTTGTTTGAGCTTCTGGTTAAGTGCCCTGCTCAGGAACATAATTACCTTTACTCAACCACATTCTGAATATCAAACTGAAGTTGATCAGTTTTCTTTGTTTTTGCAGGTTGCTGTCAGAGAAAAACAGGAAGACTGAGAGGACAGAAGAGTACTAATCTAAAACTTGTTTGTACATAACAACCAAAGATATCCTTACATTGACCTGTGTGAAGAAAAATTGACCCGAGACAAGTGCCAACAGACGACCATTTATGCATGTGGCAGCTGCATTTATGTTGGACAGACAGGTCTGTGAAGCTCAGAATGAGACTCAAGTCCAAAATGGAAGGATGCCCTGATGTGAAACACCTTTTTGCAGACGTTTTGTGCGTGTTCATCGGGAAGCTAGACAAAGATGACCACACAGTAGATTGGCCCTGTGATTGAGACCCTGTGAATAAACTTGGGAACACTTTGAAGAGTGCTTCATACAACAGAATGAAAACATTTGCTATAATTGAAAATGTTTGATTCTTCGACTCCCTAAAATGCCGGACTTCTAGTGAGTGTGTACACCATGGCCAATGGAGTACAACACCTTTTTAACAAATTTTCTTCAAAGATGAGAGTCAAGATAATGTTCTGCATATCATCTGAAGCTTTCAAACCTTAAAAAGAAACTTAACGATTTTTCTAATATTAGTGTGCATTGTGTATATCTCAGTAGTACACTATTCGTCAAAAAACTGTTTTCTCTTGGACTCTGTAAATAAGGACTTGCTGGAATGTGACATTTTCCTATTTACCCAAAACAAGTTCTCGTATTAAGTCGTATCCTGACAACATAGTTTGAATCATTAAGACAACTAGTCATTTTAAATTTGAATGAGAGTCAATTCAATCAGTTTGAATCCCAACTTTGTCCTTCTTGCATTCTGAATACTAGTTAAAGGGATTGCAAAGATGTGGGTGGTAAGATCCTGAAGTGGAACACTGTAGCTGGAGAAATGACAGGAATATTAAGGGCTTTGGGGGCAAATTTTAATTGACTTATTTCCCCTAGCAGTTGTAATAAAAAAGTTCCAGAGAAACCGGGGAAACATTGCTTTATTCACTTCACATCGAGAAATGTTTCTAATGGTCATTCCAACTTATGTGATATCGTGTAATAAAAGAGTGTTTTGTTTATAGAACTAATTGCCATTGTCAACGGTGTATTCTTGGAAGGGTCCATATTTCAGGAAGGCCCAGTTTGTATCGAGTACTTACTTAACTTCAACCACTTACAGACTCCAGAGGAAAGTGCATCATTTATGAAGTACCAAATTTCATGAATAGGTTTGGGCTTGTGCAGAATTGAAAAGCAAAATGTAAGTGGGATCTACTTTTTAATTGTTTTTCAGAGAATTGGTATCATAACTCTCCCCATTTTAATCGGGAGAATAAAAGCTGATGAATGAAGGCCAAATGAAAAATGACGTGACTTTATACCAGTTTTATTGCCAAGGCTACAGGTGACTCTTGAGTGTATTTGGAAAGGGATCGATATTTTAACTAGAAGCAGAATGAAACCTGGATCTTTTTCAGCAATGACAGATTCCACACCACCAGCAATCCAACTCATCATTAATGCGGACGACTTTGGGCATTGTTCGGGGAGGAACCGCGGCATCATAGAATGCTACCGCGCCGGTCTGATCAGCAGCGCTACACTGATGGTCAATGCAAGGGAAGTAGAAGCAGCCGTGAGTCACGCCAAGGAGTATAACATCCCACTTGGTATGAAGTCCAGACCAGTTCTTATATTCCAGTTTTTAAAAAAGCATTACACGTTCCTCATTTTTATGTAAAATAGGACTGTATGAAATCATTACAAAATCTAACATAAGATTTTCATTTTCAGAACTATGAAAGTTCCACAGCTGGACTTATCTTTAAGCTTCACAGTTGAGTAACTTTAATACCCAAACCAATGAGATACACATTTGAAATTAAAGGTAATCCTTCTGGGAAGAAGGTGGAAGGGAAGGTGGGGGTAAGTTGTTCTACTTGGGACATGTTGCCTAATTATTTTGTGGTGGGAATCTAAAGCACCAGCACTTAAGAAATGGTACTAGGACCATGCTTTGGAGGGGAGGGTTTTTATTTTTATGGATGAAAAAACATTGACATTTGCTTCAGAAAAGAAACAAAACAATTTGCCCCCAATCAGAACCTGGGCGTCACTAGAGGGGGATGTCGCCCCCGGTTAGTTTTGTCGGCAAATTCATGGTCTGTCGGCAAAGTAAAAAAAAACTAAAGAACAGAAATGAAGATGAAAGGAAGAGGGATACAGGACACTCGTTTTGCGTGACGGTCCGCCGGCAAATGTCATGTGGCACCCCCCCCATGATCAAGCAACACCCATGCCTGAACATGACACTATTTGAAGCAACCCTTAAGCTCCGAACCCTACCCGACTCATGAAACCATTTTTAAGTACGGGAGAGAATTAATTCCACACTTGGAATAACAATTCAACAACTTCTTGTACCTCTTTTCCTCAACAAGGCCTCCATCTGAATCTCACTGAAGGGCATGTGACCAACAGAGGGCGCTGTTGTAGTTTAGTGGCCAGTACCTCAGGAGTTCTCCGAGGAAAGTTTGGCTTTCGGAAGGCTCTTGCATCTGGAAGTATTAAAGGAGACGAGGTAGATATGAAGATAAAAGGAAATTTAGGATTTGATAATTTTTCGAAAGTTATGAAATATGTGAATAACTCACTGATCTTGATGAACTGTAGAAACAGTTTCCAGGAAATTTTCAGAAGCTGATAAAAACTGTCCATTTTTGTTGATGAAACTTGTCTTGACTGTTTTGGCTGAAAACCTGTATGTTCCGATGTGTTCCTCGACCTAACCCTTAGCTAGTCTAGAATGTAGTTACTGATTCACCAGGTGAGGATTTTCTTCGCTTGTTTTTTATCAGCTCAGAGAAGAGATCCGTGCACAGTTTCATCGCTTTCAAGAGCTAACGGGTCACTCGCCAACACATGTGGATGGTCACCAGCATGTGCATGTCCTACCAGGTGACAAGTCAGTGGTTGAAAATGCGCGAAGAATGGCATTTAGAGAGTACATGTACATCAAAGTGTGTCATTTCAAACATTCAGTTAAATGAGAATGTCACTGGCCAAACCTTGTGCTGCTGTGAACCTGCTAACTTTCTCTCCCCCCAAATCGGTTTGACTGCAATTTGCAAATGCAGCCTGGATTTCTTCAGTCATTCTTTTCAGTGTTGACATAACCTTTGAGTGGAATAGGCTGTCAGTACTATCTTGATTATGTAGGTTTTCTTCAGGAATTCTTCGATTTTTTTGCGTTCCATACAAAAAAGACACTTCTTTCCTTTTTTCCTCCAAATGATTCTTGGCTGCGTTGCTGGATATTGAAATGAAGTTAACTCTCGATGTGCCTTGGTTTCTTATAGTAAAATTGTCCCTGCCTGTCCATCATAAGCCATCTGGTCTTAAGCCAATCACAAGTACTGCCAACTAATAAACCTCTGCATTGAAGATACCATGGTGTCAAGGCCTATGTGAGTGCTTGCCTTTGGTGCTCGGTGGACTGTACGCCCCCCCTCGGCTCCATGGGAAAGTGCACGTGTAAATGAAGTGTAACTTTTCAGTATAGAGGCTTATTGTGACAGACATATTCCTTTGTCATTGCTTGTCCTGAAACGTGTGACTGGACTTGTGATGGACTATGATTATGGCCTTGCCATGGAGAAGAAATCACATACTACACACAGTTGATAGATAGCCCGCAACAAATGCCTCTCTCAACAGGCGTTCGTGAGATACTCGCCAACACTGCCAAGGAGTATGGCATCCTTGCTGTCCGGATACCCATCCAACATGGCTTGGAGGAATGCCACTGGCTACCATCGGCTAGCCTGGAGTTCTTTCGTGATGTCATTCAGGAATCTGCAATAGCCAAGGATTTGTTCCTCAAGACTGGCTTGAGGTGCGGTCAGTCTCTTACTGGTTCTGGGCTCCAGTTTACAGCAAAGAGGAGTTAAGGAATCGGATCCAAGGTGTACTAACTGGGATTCCTGCAGTCTTGGTTCAAGGAGCATTTTTGTTTGGAAACTGTTCAATTTCTTTCATGAGACTGCATTTACAAGTCTTTTTTCCAGTCAGTTACTACTTATGTTTAAATTAAAGAATGGACTCCTTACTAATTTTGTCTTTTTGAGTGATTGCACCATACTTGAATCCTTGAAATGTTAACTGGTAACAACTTGGACAAACATCTTGGACAGAGACTAGCACTTCAGATTTACACCTAACTCTTACAATGATTTTTCCATAAACTTTGATTTTGTAATGGGGTAACTTGGAGGTCGCAGTGCTTCTTAACCTGCTGCTCAAACTCCCAAACCCTTGGACATGCAAGGCCAAAAAATCCCCTCCTCAGAGCCTCATATCTTAAGCCTTAGTAACTTGAAAGTTGGTAGAAATTGCATGTTGCATTTGCTCTCTGTGTTCTCTTAAAGAACCACCGAAGGATTCTTTGGCTTGAGCACCATGGGCTCCAACATGACCTTGCCCACCTTGAAATCGGCCCTAGACACAGCCCTCCGTCACAGCCCCACCAAGAGTTCCAGGGCTGACCCTGCCTCACCCCTGACCTATGAACTGATGGTGCACCCTGGCTACCCCTGCCAATCGGGCTGTGGTGTGGAAGGGGAGGATTTCTACTGCTTCGAGGACAGGGCCCACGAGATGAGGCTCCTGGCAGAGGGGGAATGGAAGAAGACAATGTCAGAAGCTGGGGTGAAACTTTGTTCCTTCCAGAGCATCATCTAGAGACTGGAGTGAAGTCTTCTATTATCAAAAGCAATCATTTTGCAGAAACACATTGCAGTTCCTATTTATGCATAAATTACTTTCAATCTCTGCATTTGCTTTCTGTGTGGAGGCCATCTCGTGGAGAACATATGGAGTTGGTTGGTTCAGCCACACAGCTCCCCTCATCTTCCTTAAAACATACTGAAGGTTAAAACTTAAATTCTGGAAGGCATGATTTTTGATTTGCATAAGAATAAAATATTCAATTGAGCCCCAATTATTCTCTGGAAATATCACTGAGGTTTTTGTTGGTAGTTATTTTGGTTCAGCTAAACAACCTGATAGACAGTTTTACGAAAATCAGACGAAATGCGACCTTAAGCGACAGTGACAGATATACTTTGGCCTTTTTTTAGAACCTTCACCTGAAAGCCTTATTATGAAGTGGCTGTTATAAACGTTGCCAAATTGGATATCCATCATCAACAGATCTGATTAAATTGCATATCCAGCAAGAGTTTCCAAAAATCTTGTACTGAAGAAACTATTAAAAAACTTTATTACGTTTTGAGTTCTCTGTACAAACAGTAGTCTTTTTTCCTCATAACGAAAACATGATGAAAAACAAGTTGTTGCATTATGTGTTCTCTGACAGATTTAAAATACGATTCCATTACAGCGATGGCAGTTGATAATGTAACTATCTCTAAAGAAACTCACGACTCTGTTGCGAAATTATTTTCAAATTCCATTGATCTTTTGCATTCCGTAACTGTTTAAAATGCTCCGTTTATAAGCAACTAAACTGATACCAGGGGAGTCATTTTTGGCGTTGGCAATCCGTCTTTAAAAATCAGCGGCGTGAAGCTGGAGCCAAGGCGGTCAGACGACACGGAGCGCACATCAAAAAGGCCGAATCGCGTCGGATCACTTTGGGTGTTAACCGCGGCGTGCGAGACACCTGCTGTCTGTTTAGAAAGTTCCGAGGACCCAGGAACTAGCGGACTAAACGGCAGTTGTGTGTAGGGGACGCAGACACAAAATGCCGGCGGTGTTGGTGGGATTTCTTTTTGGTTGAGACTTTCTGCCTTGCGTGGCAGGGGGAAAAGTTCCCCCCAGGGTCATTGGTGGATTGTTTGCTCAGATAATAACGACTGGGAGGGCCAAGGTAGTGTGGTTTGAGGACATGCAACATGTTAATACCTGCACGAAGAGGAATACGCAAAAGAAGTACATGGAAATTCCAGGACATGACATGGGAGTTGTGGCAGAAAAAATGGCGGGAATGAGACCGGGAAAGGGTAATCATTTTTATGGGGATGATGGAACACAAGGACGACACGAGACAGGGAGTCAAAAAGATAAGGATGAGGCTTAGAAAAGAAGAGGTTGGGTAGAGACGAGTGAGGCAATGGAAAGGTTGCACAAGGAAGAGACCGAGGTATATATTTACAACAGGCATTGTGCATGATTAAAAAAAGGGAAAATCGAGATCAGAAAGGGGTGAAGATATTTGGCTCTGGTAGGAAGGGGTGAGGAAGGAAGGCAAAAATTGGAAAAGTAAGAAATATGAAAACAGAGAAGAAGGTACCGTAAGGTGGGGAAAGGGGAATGTCTGGCGGTGTAGGTTAGAAGGGGTAGCTTAAGAAAATGTAACCCACAGGGCAAAGATACCTGTAGAATTTTGCGTATGTCTGATGTGAGTTTAATAAATATAATTGTTTATGCTTGTGGTTACCTTTCATGGGCAGTATTTCTATAAGCGCTGAGTCTGCAGTGTAATCTGAAAGTTTATAGCAAAGACCTCGTTATCTTACTAAGTTATGGGGGACTAAATCCCACGACATGCATTCTACACTGGTATGTAAATGGTGTAAAAGTAAGACGTGCAAGTAGAGCGGGAAAAGACGAAAAAATTGGAGGAGCTGACGAGGCCTAGGTGTGGCTTGAGATGAGACAGGAACAGGGTGAAGGGGTTGGTTGAGGAAGACTGTCACTATAACCCATCAGTGATACCCATGCCGCCATTCACCTGTTCATTCAGTAATGAAGTGGGTCCTTATCAAGTGTCATGACACTTTCCTTTCCCACAGCTGTACTTTGAAATGAAAGCAAAACACGAGATTCTTATGTAGCTGAGCCAGAGATGCTAACGAAAACCGCGGCCCACCGTTGGTGGATGCAATCGCCGGATATGTAAAAGGCTAGAAAGCAATTGGTACCTTATGGTACGAATGCCAAGAAAGGACTTTAAATGACCTTATTCCGCTGTGTGAAGTTGCCAGAGTTCTCAAGTCCATGGCAGAGTCTTGCTAAGATATTAGCTCCAGTGATGGAGAGGAAACAATGCCAAGGAAATAAGATCACTGCTTAGATTGGTGGGAATAAGCGTCATAAATAGCTTCTTAACACTGCACCAGTCGCACACCGTGCCCATAGCTAAACCTTGGAAGCTATCGACACGCTCTGCTCAGCTGCCAAAGTTCAGAGACATCCTTTGCCAAATTGTCAATGTGGCACTCTCCCCAGAGAAAACGAAGCCGTGAAAAGATACATTCACCGCTATCTCGACTGACTTCGTGCCGCTTTCGCGGGACCATGAAAAGGCACCGGAATCCGGTAAAGCGAGCGCGTGTGCGAGCGATCGATGGTCTGACTAGGATTTCTGCCGTGCAGATTTTTTTTTTCCAGGGGGGAACTGTTTGCCGAGCGGGTGTCAAGCCGGGTGCTTTTGGCCGTTGATGATGGGAGAGCGCCTTTTGTCGGTGCATTCTGAAGGTCTAGGCCACGCCGGTGTGCAAGGCACGGTTCCGCATCATTCGACAGCGGCCTCCCGCACTCGCTGATAAATGTCCTAGCGTCGTACTTTTTTGGTACCGGAGCGCTGAGAAGAGGGGAAATCGTTTAACACCAAACGAAGACCCGGCCGAGGTCGGCTGTACTGTGGTGGTGATAAGTCAAGTTTTGTAGTCACCACAGATGACCATTATGACAGATCTCAGGGCTACGGGAACCATTAACCCTGCCCCTGTGCGCAGATCAAGAGTTGAACCTACTTTCGTTAGCAAACTCAAACATTTTTTAAAATAAAATATGTACACTATCCAACTTTCATTTTATTGTTATAGTTCTTACGAGATATCGGTTTTGAAATAATTCATTTATATTTTATTTATTTATTTTAAAATAATTCTGTTTAATTTTTGTCAGGAGGTGGAGCATCAGAAATAATTTTTACAACAAATGCGCATTCTTATTCACTGAAAATCTGTCTTTTACCTTGACCCTTCGGAAGTGAGTATTCATTTTCATTTTCTGTAATTTAAAATCGCAAAATATACATTCGATTTAATTAGAATATACAAGGTTACACAAATCATGACGCCACTTTGAAAATAAATGCCATGTTACTCATTTAAAGTGTGTTTGTTATTCAAACTGTAAACAAATTCAGGTTTCTGATTGAAACGCAACACAAGAAGGAAGGTTCCCTCAGCGCCGGTGCTTATAGGTTTCCTACAAGAGTCGGTAGTTTCCAATGACAACATGAATGGTTTGTTTCAATCATGATTATTCAAACATTTAACCAATCAACTAAACGCTTCTAAGAATATAACTTCTGTTGGCACACAAATGAATTCTAATTCTTGAGTAGGCATAGTTACGTTAAATAACACTTATCGCGAAATCGCCTACACATTTTCCGAAATAGACTGAGTTCAAATTAAGATGAACACTGGATGGCAGAGGTACAATTTCGCGCCAAAATGAATGTCAACACACTAAACTAGGGCAACATCGGGAAACTGAACGCTGACTCTTTACGGCTGAATGCACCCTCGTTAAAATAGAATTGTTATTTGTTAAATAGAAACGGGGATTTGAATGTTCGTTCTATTTTGCTCGAATTCATTTACACATCTCCCGAAATTAGCCGGGAAAACCTATATAATTGTTGTAAACAAGAAGTTGATCTTTGTATGGACAGGCACCGTACTAGTACACAGTGTCATTTGAGAAGCAACGCAAAAAGTACAGTTTTCCACTTTCACGTTAAATGAGGTTTGTTATAAGCATGCCCCATTTCAAATTTACCCCAGATGAGCGCAGTGAGGAGTCTGAAGGAACGGCACTCTTTCCATGATTATGTAGCAGGAACAAAGGTTGTGATGGATGTGCGGTTTAGTTTTTAAAAAATTAATGCTCTTTCCAAGATAAAACGATGAATCTTATGCTGGCTTGTCTTCAGCTATCGTCAGTTTCTCCCTCAATACCCGACATAAGAAATTATTTCTTCTGAATGACCAGGCCCGTTGCCTGACCAGAGACAGGGGGGGAGGGTCGTCAAAACAGCATTAAAAAGTTGCATGTCTGTCGCGAACCAAAGCTTGCACGTAAGACTTGTACACTGTAGTTTTCAATATTGAATAAACTTAACAAAAATACATTGATTTCAAACCCTTTGAAACACCTGAAATGTGGATAATTGCCGGAACTTCCTGACGGTACATATGACTGGAGATTGACTCATTAATATGCAGAGTCGTGGTCACCTTGATCTTGAGAATCAACGTATAAGCCGTGGCTTGTATGCCCAATATTACGGTCTATTTAAAATATTCAGTACACAAAAAAGACCAACTAGCTGAACTCAGAATTGAGGGGGGGGGGCTCGTTCGAACCCGCCGAACCCCCCCCCAGCCTAAGGGCCTGATGACAGCATGTCAAATGTGATCAATGATTCTGTGAGTTTCTGGAGGATATTTATCCGGTTTTATAATACCCTAAAGAAGATTTTGAGGTGGATATTTTAAATGAACGATATTTTGACACTGCATAATGTTAAATTAACGGCTTCAAGTGTTGGAATCAATAATTGCTTTTAATTAAGAGGTGGGGCCTGTGTGCACTGAAAAACGTTGGCGTCTTTAGTGCGTGCCTGCTGTGATGAATTCAAGTCTTTAACTTTAATTGACATTGTGCTTGGGTGTATTTGTGGGCGTGAGTATGGGGGACATGCCCCCCCCCGTCAACGGCCGACCGGCGCAAGTTGTTGCTGGACACTCGCCCCCTCCATGCTTGATGCAATCTACTGTAGATGACAGCGAAACATACACCAGGCTGTAATGACCGAAATGTCGCTCCAGTGAGTGCAGTATTACACCACATGACCGTAATTCCGACACTCGTGCGGCGAGGGAAGGGGGGGGGCAGGTGATTTAGCGGACGGCACCCACGAGCTAGCCTCCTCGACCACTGTAGTGCGTGAACTCCCCA